TTGCAATCTACTGGAAAATATTTCACAATACGAGCTGTGAAGCCTCCCTCCTCAATTTACTTTGTGTCTGTGTTTGTAGATTGATATTTTTGGAGATTCGATAGCAGATTTTGTGCAACTTTCCGCCCATAATTGAAACCTTTAAAATTGATGGCCAACTTTTTGGGGATATTTAGCATATCAAACGGAAAATCACATAAAATAAAACAAACTAAAACTCGCCGCACGCAGCAAAATTATTCCAATTATATGTACACCTCCCGTCTCCTGCGATACCCTCGAATTTGCTTTATATTTTATTGCACTGAGAATTTAGCGCCATCAATTAATGGCATGCTATAAAAGTTTTATTAAGTGATTGACTGTCCACGACGGCCCGGGCGAAAGTTGAGTGACCCAACCTGAGAGAAAAACAGAGAGTGAGAGGGATACAGAGGGAGATAGAGAGAGAGAGAAGGAGACGAAACTGAAACCCCACCAAAGACGACCCCCTTAAGCCCCCATTGATGGCATCGTCATCGGCTCCACTTGGCAACTTGGCATGTTGAAATATTTAAAGCCGCTTAAATAAATTGTGGTTTGCTTTTGGTTCTGGTTTTTTGGTTCGGTTTCTGTTTCAGCTGCTGCTCTGATGTTGCTTGCGGCTCTGGTTTACTTTGCAGACAGAAAAAAATCAATAGCAGTGTTGTAAGCGGGGTGGAGTAGGGTGTAGGTGGTAGGTGGTAAGTGGTTGGGGGCAGTCGTAATCACACATAAAACTCTCGTTAGTCGCATTAAATTACAAATTCCATTAAAATGATTATTAAGGCAAGTATTTGCTAATTAATTTACTCGCTACGCACAATGCCCGAGCGCAATTAATAAATCCAAATGAGCAGCTAAATAACGCAACGCGTCGAGTCAGAATCGAGTCAAGTGTTTCGTGACTATTCAAGTGCCCTATAAAAGCACATTTCAGATAACGTAATTCCATAAAAAAAAAGAAAAAAATACAATCCAAGTAAATTCAAATAGCTAAGATTCTGAAGTTGGCGGGGCGACACGGTGCTAAATGGAATTTACAGCTCGTTACAATTGATGCTGGTCGAGGTATAATCATTATTTAATGGGTAATATAATGCGAATTTGCAAGTTTCAAGAAAATTTATTTCATTTTGTATTTTTTATTTAAATATATCTATTTAGGCAATTAAATGTAAATGCATTTTTAATCATTTCAATACAGAGTTATAGCCGTAATTTAGCCGCTAAAAAAGAAATTAATTTTGTTGTCTGAAATGTAGATGATCATTTAATTTCAATAGTTCAATTATTGCGAATTTCAGCAAACAAAAGCACTAATATTTTATTAATTATAACTTTGAAATGTAGCAATTTTGGCCCATCAATGCTTTAACTTAATTTATTGTTGTTATATTTCATAGCTTCTTTGGGCCTCTGCTAATTCAAGTAAATTTGCAACTTCAAATGTAGACAATTAGTAGACAATACTATTAAAATGACAATTTATGATATATTATTGTATTTATTGTATTGTATTTGTATAAATTGTATTTAGAAAATCTATTTACTCTTCTACTACAAAATTGCTACAATTTTATTTATGCATGTATTCCATTTCTATAATTCGATTTTGCACAAACACATTTAAGGGTTGCGCACAGCGTTTGAGATATGCAATTTTAATTGAGTTATGTACTGCAGCATTTAACTTACTTGACCCCCGCCCCTGGCGGCCCACACTGTGTGGCAAACCTTTTCAAGCACTCAACGTACCTTCTCCTTTTTTTTACTGTTTGCAAAACTCTGTAATGTAATGAATAACTGCCACTGTGGCACTTGCGACCCCTAGTCCTTATGAATAATAAGGCAAATAATCTGTCAGCGTCGCAGCCGCCTAAAACCCGTGCCAGGCAGTCAGGCAGCCAGCCAGCCAGCCAGTCAGCCAAACGACTCAATTTCAATGCGAAGGATAACACTGTGGCAGGAGCAGGAGCACGAACAGCAGTATGAGCAGCTGTAGCCGGGCTCCACTTCAGTTGTATAACGATTTCAGCTCCGCATTTGGTCAGCGACATGCCGTTTGGGTGTGTGTGTGTGTGGGTGTGTATGTGTGCGTCAGTCAGGGGTTGGGGATGAAGCTCTGTGTGCAGGGTTGGCAACTCCGTTGCTAATAACACGAAATCGGATTTCAACGTTGGGCCAGTTTGACGCTGCGTGTGATAAAAAGCAACAACAGCAGCAACAACGACGCAGTTTGCGGTTTTCACTGTGTATGTTGTGAACGGCGCACGCTGCGTATGCGTAACGTGCGTTTTAATGAAATATTGAATTTTATTGCCTGCGTGCCTGTCAACAACTTGGACAGAGCGAGAGCGACCGTGTGTGTGTGTGTGTGTGTGTGTGTGTGAGGGGATATAGAGAGAGAGGGAGAGAGAGAGGTGTATTCCAGCAGTCAGCAGTCAGCAGTCCAACGTTCACGTTCACGTCCTGGTTCAGTTTGTTGTCCTGGTTCACGTCCCACTTCACAACTTGTCACTGCCTGGCGGGCAAAACAGGGCGCCACCAACTGGCGTCTCTTTTAATTTGATTTTCAGACAGCTCATGACCAACCCCGCCTCTACCCCAACTCCCTCCTCCCCCATTCACTTTGCTCCCCTTTGTTGACCTTGTCCACCCCACATAAACACCTCTCCCCCTCTCGTCCTCTCGTCGCACGCATTTTAACGCTTTTTATTTGCTATGCAAAAGTTCAAGTGTATTATTACCAAAAAAAAAAAAAAAAAAAAAAGAATTATGAGAAAAAAAGAAAGGCAAAAGTTGGTTTATATTCCTCGTTCTTTTTTTGTTGTTGTTGTTGTTGTGCCTTTGCTAATAAAAGCAATTTATGAAGCCCAAAGCGCGGAAATGAATTGTTAACAAATTTTGCGGCGTTGAGTTTTGTGGCGTTCAGCTGAAGATGATGGAAACGGGGGCGTGTGAATCGGGGGCACACTGAGAATGAGGTCGGTGATGATGAGTGGCAACGTTGTCGAGTGGACGACATGTCTTGTTTATGGTCATGCCCGGACGCAGCCAAAACACACTCATCAACCGACTGGAGTTTGGGGAGCGGTCATAACCACTGCCTCCCACCCCCCTCCACGGGCTCTCCACCCACTGCCTCCTATGCCACTTCACGCCACCTCCATACCCCATCAGCTGCGTCACGCCCACCGACTCGATGGCATTGTGAAATTTCCCAAAGCGCGCATAAAATGAAAACCCAACGCAAGAAGCAGCAAGAAAAACACACTCAAGTGCAATCTGTGGAGTAACAATAGCTTTAAACACTGGCCACATGTTTAAATTTTACAGTCTCTAAAGTTAACCAAGAGCGAAACATAAAAAAATTCAAAGACCCTTAGCCAGATAGGAGAATATCCAAGGCAATAAGGACAACTTACCAAGAATACAGTGTAGAATATATGCTAAGCAAAAGGTTGTCTTATCATATACTAAATTAACATTGATACTATGATATTTAAACTGTTTTATTTGTAATACATAACATAAATAGTAAATAAATTCTGCAGATGCATGCAGAAGCAGTTTAGATTTTATTATTGCTTTTGGTCAATGTTTGAATTACTATCATGTGGCCAAAATATTTTTTGTGCAATAACGATAAGTCCGTAAATCAAAGAATGGATAATTTTCTTTGGTCTGTTAACTTATTTTGTGGCTTTGGTTTCACACTTCGAATCGCTTGCACTGTGACATGAAATATGCCATATTTTAATTTATTTCTTTGTTTAAATATCCATTCCATTTAAAGCAAATTCTACATTATACATTCTTAGGCTTGAAACCTTTGTGATCAAATTTACTGCAAAATCGTCGAAAATTTTAATACATACATTCATTTTATTTCTTTAATTTGATTTTACAAAATAAGCATTTTTAGTTCGCTCTGAGCTGAGCTCTAAATTGAATTTTATTCTCCCCCAAATTGAACTATCTGAACAATAATTTTCTCTGCTGCCAAAAGCAGATGATTGTGAACTAAACAACAAACCAAATAAATAAATACGGAATGCCAAACTGGACACAGCGTGGCAATAATATTTTCCATAAAATCAAAATACTCGATGTAATAAATAAAAAGTTGCGTCATTTTCATTATCTAAATATATATATATATGTATATATATATTGTAATGCTTGAAGAAGACAATGCAGCTGCTAACAGAATTTGTTAAATTTTGTTTTTAGTTGAAATGCATAAGCTATGCATGACTGAGTTTCTGGTGTCAAAGCTGAGCAACTTTCTGACAATTTGCACATATAAAAACTCCCATTGACAATGGCAAATTGCAGCTAAAAACGTTTTTCACAAAATGTCTGCAGAATAATATTGCTTAATTTCTGGTCAGTAAATCCATTATATTTTTAATTTTGTAAATATTCTATTTAGTCTAGCAAGTTTGACAAACATTTAATTCCACTTCGTTTTGAGCAATATCCTTTGATTTTTTAAAATATAAATATTGCTTAATTTCTGTTTTGTAAATACTTAATAGTAAATATTTTAAAATATTCATATTTAGTCGGCCATTTTGGCAAATAGTTTGACAAACACTTAATTCCACGAAGCTTTCAGAAGTTTAATTTATTTTTTGTAAATCAAATCAAAAACTTTGTTCAGTTGATTTTTCCTGTTAATCTGTTAGCTGGCGCTAACTCGACTGCTATTATATGTTTGTAAACGTATTTAGCAGGCACTTACTGCAAACACTTATGATAAAATTAAATTGTTCATATGTGCGTTTGCCATGTCTACAACAAAGTTCAGCTTCGGGGCAAAAACTTGTTGTGTGCCCAGACAACAATAAAATAAAAATAGCACACATGGCAGAAGTGTGGCAGCAGCTGCTTTTGTAGTTGTTGTAATTGCCATGATTGTTGTCTCTGTTGTTGTTGTAATTCCTGCTGCTGTTTAATTGTGAGATAAAACTTACCAATAATGAGGAGCTTTATGGTTGTCATGTTTGCTCTTTGTTGTTGTGGGTTTTTGGTTGTTGCTGCTGCTGCTGCTGATGCTGATGCTGCTTTTGCTTTTGTTGTACTTGTTATTGTTTTATCTCTTTCGTTACTTTTCCTATATTGTTAATTCTCTTTTGGTTTATTTTGTTGTTGTTGTTGTTTGTTTGTTGTGTGTTTCGTGGCTTTGCGCGTTGTTGTTGTTTGCTGTTTTTTGTAATGGCGGCAGCTGTGCGCACTTTTCAATTGATATTTACGCAATTTATTAATCCGACTTGATTCGCAGTTTTACAAGCACTGGCAATGGCATTTCAATGTTGCAGCACGAATGCAATTTAATGCATTGTCTTTATTTTGGCGACAATGGACATTTTTGCTCTCATTATTAATATTTTTATCAACGAGTATAAATATTTCATAACATTGTATTTTATTTTCGAATGAGAGAGAGAGAGGGGTGAAGAGTTTTAAGCAGCTTTTAGGCTGGCTGATTTATAATTGAAATGTTTCAATTAAATTGATTAAAATGTACCGTGCCGCAAGGAACACTTATTACACACTCACAAAGAGAAAGCCCACAATGAATATTTAAAGCCTTAGACATTTCAATTTGAGTTCTCCGTCCTCAGTTCTCAGTTCTTCTGTGCACAGGCAAAGGCAGTGATATATAATTCCAGATACGCCTAGACATTAAATTAACATATTTTGTTAATAATCATTATTTGTGTCTACACACATACGTTATATATATATATATCTTTCACTCTTTGTGTGTGTGTGTGTGTGTGTGATGTGTCTATGCCTGCAGGATTCTGACTTGTACACATGTAAACTGCTGCCTAATGTCTTATTCATGTTAACTGGCTTGTATCCTGACTCCATCATCTCCCTCCTCCCAGCCGCTCCTCACTTCCTTTCACCTGTTCTGGCTATGTTCTAGCTCTAAATTTGTTTGCGTGCTGTTAACTTATTAGCCATGGCCTGTCTGCAGGACCGGTAAACCAAACCTTTTGCCTCAACAATTAGAACAGCATTATTGGGCCACAATAAACTCAACCAAAAACCAAACTACAATAAGCAGAAAACCAAAATACAATTTCCTTGCCAAATAACACTTGTCCCCTTTTTATCCTTTTGTACTCATTAATAATGAAATCGATTGGCTCTCAAAATCATTAAAAATAAATCTCAGGAAATGTGAACATTTTATTCCGTATTATTGAACAATTTTAAAGCTCTTTTCATATGTGAAAAATACTTGTTAACTGCTCTTATATATTTGAGAGCACTCTGAATTTGTTATATTATTTGAGGACTTGAAAATTTCATTTGGGAAATCACATTAGGCAACTTTTTAGAATATGCAATTACAGCGTTTCTTTTTGTTTGAAGTTCAAATCCTCTTTTGAATAATTTGCACACAAATATTTTATTGCATACTTTGCAGCGTCCTCAACAATAATAACAAAAGTTATGGCTAAGAAGCCAAAGCGGATTTTCAGGTTTCAAAGTTCCTGAGAATTGCGAAATTAATAAGAAATGGATTTTCCAAACATGTCCAATAAACGTAAATTAACTGATAACACATATATTGTAAGGCCTACAATTTGTGTTTGCTTTTATCTAAAATATTTTTGATTTTTAATGTTTTTTTCTTAACAGTTTTTCCAATTGTCGCGAGACGCAGATCGTATAGATTGTTCAAAGATTTTCGAGAGTCTGCCAAATCAATTTTCAATTTTTAAAATAAATATATTATTTAATTAAAAAATAATTGCAATAAATTATTAACTAATAAACGATTTGTTAACTTAATAAATGATTAATAAACACATTATTATTTTAATTTTTTTTCCTTTGTATCAATTTTAAAACGTTTTATTCGATTTTTTTTTAAAGTCTTACAACCATAAGTAAAAACTGTATAAATATAAAACTGCTCGCAGACAATTGAAGCCTTGCAAAAACCATTTCATATTTTCCGAATGCACTTACAAAACTAACTCGATTCGCTGAGCACAGTTCTAACTGATATATATATATATAAATATATATATAGATTCAAAGGGCAGCGCGCCAAAAAGCATGCAGCATGAAATGGAACAATGTGGAGTAGGTCAACATTGTCGCAAGGTAGCCGGAAACAACAAAGCAAAGGTACAATAAAAATATAAATAAAATACAAAAAAAACACAATGCTTTGGTCACTTTATGTGTGTCACAAGACAAACGAAAATCAGCTGTCAGAGTGGAATAATAAAAATGAATTTATTTGCAATTTATACACATTTCGGATTGTTGCTGCTGCTGCTGCTGCTGCTCTCTAGGACAACAAGTTGCGACAATAACACAAACAAAGAAACTCATAGAATTTTATAAGAATTTGACAAATGAGACAAGGCGATGGCGTCCTGACACAGAACCCGTGTAAAAAAAAAATATAGCAACAAAACTGCTGCAGAACTTTAGCCTTAAAATTGTGCTAAACATGTTAGTTGTTGTTGCTGCCGTTGCTGCTGTTACAGTTGGCCCACTTTCTATTTATGTTGTTGTTGTTGTTGTGTTTGTTGTTGGGGTGCCGGCATGAATATACATGTGGCATGACGACGACAAGGTCGGCCTAACAGTTGCACTTGAGTGCCACATTTGCAGCTGCTAGCCACACACTCTCTACACACACACACACACACACACATAGAGGTCCTGCTGCTGCTGCTGCTGTCCTGTCCTGTAATTCTTCTTGGTGAGAATTTGCAGATGAGTCTCAAGCCAAAAGCTATTTGCATAATTACAACACACATGAGCAACGCGTTAACCGCCAGCCGCCTGCAAGTAGGCAACAGTAGGCTTTTCATTAGCTCCAAAATGGACACTAAAATGCACACTCACACAGACACACACTCAAAGGCGAAAGACGCGCGTTTTGCGTACGATAAACGATAAACGACGAACGTTGAGCTAAAGGAACTTCGGCTTGTGCATCCGCTTTGCCGCCCGTTGCCGCCGATTGCTTCTTACCAACTAACACAATTTGAGTTTTGTTATAGCTTTAAAGCCGAAGCTAAGAATTAGACGCACAACCCGATCGTTAGTCGGCTGCACTTCGTGGCCAGCCCGAAGCTCGTTCACGAGCTGCCAGTGTAGCCTTGACGCCTGCGCCGCCTTCGAGCAAAGAGAGCACAGCGCGCTTGGCAACATTGTTGCGCTCTCAAATGTTGCGGCAGCATGCCCCTTGTTGTGATAGGTTAGTGTTTGATGGGAGATATATAAAAATCTGACAATATTTATTCTATTTGGTTATGCTCATTTAGATGATAAAATTGTTAATAGTAAAAAACGTAAAGAAAGTAAATAAATAAATAATCTTCTATATTGTATAATAAGTAAATTTAAATATAAACAAAGTAAATAAATTACAAAATCAGCATACTCTTCTTAATCGCTCTCTTTATCTCCGTTAAACGTTGCCTACTTTTTTGGGCTTGTTTAACTTTTTGTGGGTCACGCAACGAGGCGAAATCTGTTCGCAATTTCGAATCGCATTGTTCGTTTCATGTTTGCCGAGCCATTCAATTTAAGAGAACTGCGGCGTTTCAATGCCAATTCGTTCCGCTCTCTTTTGGCAACATGTTGCTAACAACTGCTGCATTGTCAACATAGGCGCAACAGTTGTGACCAGCTGTCGTATTTACTGTTAGCTGTTAGCCGAGTTTAAACTCGTGCCTCTGCTCCACTTACACCAATTGCCACTTAACTAAAATGCCTCTCCAAAGTGTGGTTGACAACATTTTCCATTTGTTTTTTCGTTGGTTGGAGAGGGTGGAAGTGGGAGGGGGGAGTGGGGTAGTGTGTTACGCACTGTGCGTGTATTTATGTGTGTGTGTGTGGGAGCAACCTTTAAGTAAGCTTAGCTTGGTCTCCCCGTTTAGCCTTTGCCTTTTTTGGCGCAATCAACAAAAGTGGTCAAAAAGAGCAGCTTGCAAGCCCAAAAGACCTCTGTGATGCCAAAGGAGAAAAAAAAGCATCCGTCAGAAACATGTGTTCCCAAAACCAAACCAAAACCCCTTTTCAGAATATGCACATAAAAAAATATTTGCAAACTGTGTGCGGCAAGTTTTTGGCTCAGGCAGCACACAACACACATAAATATACAAATATACAAATATACATTTACAGTTACAGTTACAGTTACAAAAACAGATACAGTTACAGTTACATATACAGCAACAACTGCACATTCGCAAAAAGTTGTTAAAAAGTCCAAATAAATTTGTTTTTTTTTCGTCGAGTCTTTGACATAAATTTATGCGTTTTGTGTGCGACAAGCAACAACAACAACAACAACAAGCAACAACAAGCAACAACAACAAGCAACAACTCCTGGCCTGGTTATAGATCAGGTCATGGATTGCTCTAGGTGCCAGCATTGAGTTGCAAGGTGTGAGTTGGATTGTTGAGCATAAAGCGATTGCTTCTGACAAACTAAAATATATTTCGAAATTGAGTTGTCATAAAAAAAAAAAACAGCAGCAGCAGCAAGCTGTTAGCTACAGTCAAGACTCTTGAAAGCGAATTCGGGTCATGCCCTGCGAATCGGAGCAGTTTACTGGGTGTGTGGCAAGCAAAAGTTGCAAGTAATTTTAACCTGTCTAACTTAAATATAACAAAGTCATTCATAGTTTCCACAAAAAAAAAACAAATACAATTCAAGTTGAGTTTTAAGAATGATTTCATCTTACAATTTAAGCTGGCAACTTTTGCTTGCTTAACAATTTTATTAGCAAAATATGTTTTTAACTGCAAAGAGCTCTTTTGGCTTATTGGAATAAGTCTCGGCTTTGTGCGCTCAAATATATATTAATATTTCATTCAGCTGCCAGCATTGAAATCAAAGATATGAAATAACCTCTGGCACTTATATATAAAATAACATATTTATCTATTTTATATGCAACACAATTTTTCTTTACAATTTCGCTGCTGCAATTTTGCTCAATTGCATTATG